AACTGATATCTCGAATTACACTGCCCTTCATGGATAACCATTCCAATTCACCCTCCTAATTAGACACAGCTCAGTACCCTTGATTATTGCAACTCTTTGCAACACTGTATTGGGTCTATTATCTAGTGTAGCTGGATTTCAAGTGAGTGTGTAATCTTGGAATTACCATTGAAGTTCTGACAGTTGGTCCTATTTTAAACAAGTATATTTACTTTACTTTTTCGTTTTTCAAGCACATTTATTTTGACACTTTCATTTAATTAAGTTTGTGTTTTTAATCAAGGCACCTAGCCTAATACCTGTTTAGTTAATTCAAACAAGGGTAACAAGATTAGTATTGGTCTTGTTTTTTGCAAGCCTAGTCTAATCTTTCTCAGCATCTTCATTTTGGGTTATGCCCTAATTACCCTACAACCAATACAAACTTAGCATCAGATTCCCTCTTGCTAAGTCTGTCTATCTTCATCTGTCAGTGTATGTTTGTGAGTGTGTGTGTGTCAGTCAGTGCATATCTGTATGTGAGTGTGTTTCTGTCAATGAATGTGTGTGTGTCTGTCTGTCAGTGAGTGCGGGTGTCTGTCAGTGTATGTCTGTAAATGAGTATGTATGTCTGTCAGTGAGTATGCATGTGTGTCAGTGAATGTGTGTGTGTACAGCTGTGAATGAGTTTGTCTGTCAGTGTATGTCTGTGAGTGTTTTCTAGTGTATGTATGTGTCTGTCTGTCAGTGAATGTGTGTGTGTCTTTCATTGAGTGCATGTGTCTGTTAGTGTGTGTCTGAGTGATTGTGTATTTGTCAGTGTGTCAAATCAGTGAGGGTAGGTGTATCAAATCATTGAGTGTGTATGGATATCTGAGAGTGAGTGCCTGTCACTGAGTGGTTGTGTCAGTTTGTGCCTGTCAGTCAAAGTGTGTGCTGTTCCTAGCATGAAGGGGTGGGGCAAATTTAGATTAGGGGGGATGCCGAGTTTCCTTGTGCCTAGAGTAGCACGAATCCAAAATATACCACAGAATTGGTCTTTTTGAACGTTACAATTTTTGCTAAATCTCTTTAGTCTACTTACTTCCTAATAACTGCCTCAACTACTAGAACAAGGAGTTTGTGCTTGACCATGTGATGTGCCTTTGCCTATGGTGAAGGAGTGGCTACTTTGGTCATTAGATCCTGTATGTAGATGGAATTTCAGCTCCTTCTTTTTTTATCTAATTGTATGTTTCCTCTCCAAGCATTGCAGCTGGGAATCCAGTAAAAATTGTGACAGAACAAATCCACAGTTAATGGTGATTGATTACATTTCACAGTGCGATCCAGACTAATTATTAAACTAGTAACATGTTCGGGACATCTTTTTGTATGTATTATTGGCCAGTAGGGGACTTTAGAATGATGCTAAGCCTTCAGCAAAAAGGATTAAGCATTCTGAAAATAATAGTACTTTATATTTATTTGAAATTCCACTAAGAAGGAATTTACTAGTACAATACCATCTTTGTGTAATAATATGTAGAATATTAGCAGCACCCAAAATTGTAAAAATAACACGCCAGTTTTGAAAGATTCTAATTCCATCCATGTCTCATCATATAGGAAGTGATACACAGTAACTCATAGAATATATGCATTTCATGACTATGTGCATATACCCGCTTGTACCACTAGATGACATTAGAGCATTGCAAAATTCTGAGATAATCAAAACACGCTCTCTTAGATATAGATTGATGATAGTTAAATATTGTTTATAAACCTAAGTCCATCATTCTTAAATAATATATGTTATAATTTCTTTTGAAAATTACATTTATGAAAACAGTCTTCAATATTTTGGCCTTTTTTTTGCATACGTCACTAGGATCTACAAATCTCCAGTACATTAGTCTTAGTATCCCTAGAAAATCTCAAGTACATTAGTCTTAGTATCCCTAGAGTTCACTTAATTGCTTGAACTATGTACGATATTGACTTGTTAAGTAAATGTGCCTTTATTGGAAAGGTTTATTATCATTGACTCTAAGTGAATGAAAACTCACGTGGTCTTATTATTACATCATTTTGGAGAGCCATTACTGAAAATTTACATCGGGTGGATAATTAAATTTTACTCACGGAGGCTATTAACAACCTGCAGACATAGAAATACATTTGTCTTCCAGTCAAAATCCATTTAATTGATGTTGTTATGGTGATCAAGCAGAACTTCTGTTGGGATTTAATGAAGCAACATGGCATCATTGAAATACATATGAGCAAAATCTATGTTAGTAGCAATAGTTGAACTACAGTTTTGCAGGTTTTTGTAGTGTTTATTTTTAAAACACCATAAAGAAAGGGAAACCTTTCAAGGCCCAGTCAAATTTAGGTATATTGCTGATATATAGGTGCAATTTTTTTTTCCGTCCAACTCATCTTTTTGAATAGCAGCAAACTTTTTTTTTTTTTTTAAAGCATGTATCTTTTCCTCACGTAGAACCAAACATCTACCATCTGCTGCAACTGGGTATTCAGGGTGCATGGCTGTTAAAGGGAAGGTTCAAGCCTCAGCTATCTCTATTCATTGCAAGCCAGTCAACTCACCAATAATCCTAAAGTGTAACTGTAATTTTATTTTATTTTAGTTTTTCTTTTCTTTTATATATTAACGCCTTAGTGACCAGACCGTTTTTTCAATTTTCTTACCGTTAAGGACCGGGCTGTTTTTACATTTCTGCGGTGTTTGTGTTTAGCTGTAATTTTCCTCTTATTCATTTACTGTACCCACACACATTATATACAGTTTTTCTGACCATTTAATGGTCTTTATAAAGATACCATTATTTTCTTCATATCATATAAATTACTAGAAAAAAAAATTATAAAGTATGATAAAATTTCTTTTAAAAATACACTTTTTCTAACTTTGACCCCCCAAAACTGTTACACATCTACACAGGGCCATCTTTAATTTTGATTGGGCCATGGGCAAGCATTTGATGGGGCCCCCTGAATTCCACTCCCTGACATGCAATCACGCTCTCCACTTCCCAACGCAGTAGCGGAACCATTTTCCCATGCTTGCAGAGTTGTATTCAGTGCTGAGTTGTGTTTGTGTTTGAATGGAAGCATGTTTTTGCATGGAGTATGTTTGTGTAAATGTAGGGGTGTGTTTGTAGGTGGTGTTGGTGTTTGAATGCAAGCATGAATCTATGTGTAGTTTTTTGTTTATTTTTTAATGCTGTTTATTTTTGGTGTTTAACACAAATATGTGTTTGTATGTATTTTTGACGTTTCAATGCAGGACTGTGTTTGTATGTAGTGATGAAGGTTGAATGCAGGGGTGTACTTGTGTGTAGTGTTGGCGATTTGAATGATGAGATGTATGCACATGTACACATACACACTGTGATACACATACATACATTAGGGCTGATTATTTCTGATGACTTAAAGGTAGGCAGATAATGTAATAGAGCAGCAGGGAATGCTAGCAGAATGCTTGATTGTATAGGGAGAGGTATTAGCAGTAGAAAGAGGGAAGTGCTCATGCCATTGTACAGAACACTGGTGAGACCTCACTCGGAGTATTGTACACAGTACTGGAGACCGTATCTTCAGAAGGATATTGATACCTTAGAGAGGGTTCAGAGAAGAGCTACTAAACTGGTTCATGGATTCAGGGCCGTCTTTAACGCGGGGCAAACGGGGCAGCTGCCCCGGGCCCAGTTGTTCCTGGGGGCCCAGAGCAGCTGCTCTGTGGGCCCCGCGATTTGCGGCTCCCGCACACTGAGGAGGCTCCCCGGGTGGCCCATGCACTAAGGGCCACCCGGGGAGCATGTGTCAGGAGGGGCCCGGTCGGGCGCTGTGGCGCTTAAACAGCGCGACCGGGCCCCTCTTCCGGTTCTGCAGCCGGCTGGGAGGAGTGACGTCACTTCCTCCCACCGGAGATAGCCGCGCGGGAGGAGGAAGGAAGGGAGGAGGGGAGTTCAAGAAGAGAACTCCCATCTGCCTCAGCCTGCCACTGGACCAGGGAAACCACCCTCCAGGAAAAGGTAAGAACCTGGAGGGTGGCTAAATGTATGTCAGTAGGTCTGTCTGTGTGTGTGTCAGTATGTCTGTGTGTATGCCAGTATGTCTGTGTGTGTATGCCAGTATGTCTGTGTGTATGCCAGTATGTCTGTGTGTGTGTGTCAGTATGTCTGTGTGTATGCCAGTATGTCTGTGTGTGTGTGTGTGTGTGT